CACGTGTTTAGATATTGGGTCTGGCTGGACTAAGACCACAGGGAAACTGGCTTTCTTGAAAGAAGAGAATAGAATGGTGGTGATTGGTTACAGACGCGTAGCGTGCGGTGTGGTAAACCTGTGCGGCTCCGGGACTTAGTCTTGGACCCTTGGGGCCGCCCTTCCCTGCAGGGACGGTCGGCGCCTCACCCAAGCAGCCGAGGGTCCCCGAGTTGGCCAGATGAGGCGCACGGCCCGAGGGCGGGGCGGGGCGGGGCAGGCGGCTGCCGTGCCCGCGTCGCCCCAGCGCCCCTGTGCTGTCGCAGACGGGAAGCCCATCGCCACAGACGTCATCGTGCTGGGCCGCACCAACCTGCTCATCGCGGGCGCGCAGCCCCGCCACTCGGGCGTCTACGTGTGCCGCGCCAACAAGCCCCGCACACGCGACTTCGCTACGGCCGCCGCCGAGCTCCGCGTGCTGGGTGAGGCGGGCCGACCGGGTAGGGGCGGGTCGGAAGATGGAGACGGACAGGAGACCTCAGCGGGGGTTGGGGGTGGAAGGGTAAACTGGGTGACTGCAGGGTGGCGGAGTGACCAGGTCTGGCAGGGTGACTGAGATGTGGGGTGAGTCCTCGGCAAAGGGGTAGTTGTGAAACAGGGCAGAGGGGTCTGAGAACTCGCCTGTCATCCCAGTACTCTGGGAGGCTGAGGCAGGAGAGTCCAAGTTGAGGCCCAGCCCGAGCGATTTAGGGAGACCCTATCTCAAACTTTATTTTTTTTAATTTTTTTTCAAACTTTATTTTTTAAAAAAGATTGGGGATGTAGCTCAGGGCAAAGGGCCCGCAGTTCGGTCCCCACTGTATGCATGGGACCAGGCTTGCTCAGGCTGAAATAGCCGGGGAGAGGGCGAACTCGTGGGCATGGCAGACACCTGAGGGCGCAGGAGAAGCAAGTGGGTAAAGAGAGGAGTGTGGTTAGAGCCGGAGGAGCGGAGGCTGCCTTCAGGGAAGAAGATGGTCAGGGAAGTGCTGGGGCTCCGGGAGTATGTGTAAAAAGCCGTGTCAGGGGAGACCAAGGTGATCGGGAGGGGCGTAGGGGCGGCGGGAGCCGTGATGGCCCAGCCTGGGTCAGCGTCGCTTCCCCCACCCTCGCAGCGGCACCCGCCATTGTGCAGGCCCCCGAGGCGCTTTCGCGGACGCGGGCGAGCACCGCGCGCTTCGTGTGCCGCGCGTCGGGGGAGCCGCGACCCGCGCTGCGCTGGCTGCACAACGGGGCGCCGCTGCGGCCCCACGGGCGCATCAAGGTGCAGAGCGGCGGGGGCAGCTTGGTCATCACGCAGATCGGCCTGCAGGACGCCGGCTACTACCAGTGCGTGGCGGAGAATAGCGTGGGCACGGCGTGCGCTTCCGCCGCCCTGGCCGTCGTGGTGCGCGAGGGGCTGCCCAGCGCCCCCACGCGGGTCACCGCCACGCCGCTGAGCAGCTCCACCGTGCTGGTGGCCTGGGAGCGGCCTGAGTTGCACAGCGAACAGATCATCGGCTTCTCGCTGCACTACCAGAAGGCCCGGGGTAGGCGGGCTTCGAGACCCCCCGCAGAGGGTGGGGGTGGGGCGGGCGTGCAGGGCGGGTGCCTGGGGAGTTCCTGGAGGGGATCTTTGGGGTAGGGTGAGGTGGGTGGGACCCCACAGCAAGAGATCCCCCTCCCTGACAGGCAGTTCTAGGCACCTGCAGAGAGGCGCTGGGAAAGTGCTCGCTGTGTTCCCTGTTGTCCCATTTTGGAGCCTCCTGCCACCTCGGGTCACTAACTGCAGGAGTCATTTCTGCAGACACCAGCAGCCATTTCCTAACCAGTGGAGGGATTGGTAACAGAAGCCCAAGAGCTGTGCCCTCGGAGGCTCCAGATATCTGGGAAGTTTTAGACGCAAACAGATTTCAGAGATTGGGACAACATAGAGGATCCCTAGACAGGCTGCAATTGGTCAGTGCCTGAAGTGGCCCTGTGACAGTTCCTTTGTTCCCCGTGTCACCGTCTCAGGCATGGACAACGTGGAATACCAGTTCGCAGTGAACAATGACACCACAGAGCTGCAGGTGCAGGACCTGGAGCCCAATACGGACTACGAATTCTACGTGGTGGCCTACTCGCAGCTGGGAGCCAGCCGCACATCCACCCCAGCCCTGGTGCACACTCCCGACGACGGTAGGCCGGGAGCCCGCAGCACATGGCCTGGGCCAGAGCCCCCGGGGACAGTAGCTCCCTTTCTCTTTACTGCTATCCTGGAGACCCTGCTACCTGGCTCATGTCCACTTTTGTGCCTTCTAAGGGAGCGGGCAGGGGATCTTCTTCCCAGTTTGTAGATAAGGAAACTGAGGCCCAGGGTCAGTAGTATAGGTGGAGCTTGATCCTGGGGCCTGTGATTCGCCTTATCTCACAGTCCTCCCCCACACCCACGTGTCATCCAGCCGGGGTAGCAGCCAGTGACCCCGGAAGATTGTGCCCCACAGCGCCCTCTAGCTGCCGGCTGGGGAGGGTGTCCCCTTGTCCTGCCGCGCGGGCTCCCCTGAGAGGCTCCCTTTCCTCCCTCAGATCCTGGTCCTGGGCCTTCTCCTGACTTGCCGTGCGACCTGGGCAAGTCTGAGCACTCCTGAGCCTCACCTCCCGCGTCGGTTGGAGCACTGCTCACGCCCTGTTCTTCTCTCAGTCCCCAATGCAGCACCGCAGCTCGCCCTGTCCAGCCCCAACCCCTCGGACATCAGGGTGGCGTGGCTGCCCCTGCCCCCCAGCCTGAGCAATGGGCAGGTGGTGAAGTACAAGATAGAGTACGGTTTGGGAAAGGAAGGTGAGTGGAGGCGGGGCAGGTATGCATAGGGGCGGGGCTTCAGGGTGACTGGGGCTGGGGGGGGGGGCCGGTGGCAGGCACAAAGAAGGAAGACAGAAGAGTCAGTACCAGGCAGAATGTCCAGGGAGTCCCACCTCCTCTGCAGCTGCAGCCCGAAATCTAGTGAAATCCTGCCTCACTTTCCTTATCTGTGGAATGAGACAGGGGAACCTGGGTCATCCTCCAAGCCCTTCAGCCCAAAAAGCAGAAGAGAGATGGGGCAATCTGTGGAAAGTGTTAGTGGGGCGGGGCTGGTGAGATGGCTCAGTGGTCTAAAGCACCTACTTAGAACAGGCTTAGCAAAGTACAAGGGACTGCGGTTCCATCCCCCAGCACCACATG